TTTTCGCCGAGTTTTATTCGGTAAGCAGCTCAATCGACTCTATTAACCAATTAAGATATAAATCTCCGTAATAATTTAACAAATAATGAGACCATCTAAAAGAGTTTACATATCACAGGTTGTAATGATCCTATTTACTATGACAATAAAAGTTTGCAGTTACAATCTAGTCCTCAAAAATGCCATATGAGTAAAGGTATCCATCCAAAACTGTGTGTAACTGTTGGCATATATAAAGCTTACTCAGTGTAATCAATATTAATGGTAACATTTGAAATTCCGAGAAAGTAGTTTTGTGGAGATTTAGTATTTTTCATAGTTGAAAGCGTGAGTCAATCGAAGCTAGACCACTAACGAAAACCTGGAAGCACTGGACACCCGTCTCGTCCTATTGTGAGACTCCTTAGTAGTGCACATCCACTATCCCGTCTCACAAGATTCGAAATCAGGACCTATCAGTTTCGCGAGCGAGCGCCTAACCACTACACCACTGATCTGGCCGGCATCCAATGGTGTTAATGTCTAACTTCAAACGATCAAATTGAGCGACCATTCACCAATGTCTTCAGTGAGTTGATCTCTTTTAACAGACGTGGTTCAACTTCACTGGTCACTGCTTCTCACTAGAACTCCAGGAAATACCTCATGGAGCCAGTAACTAGTGAGCATATGATCATTATCAGAAGAGAGGATAGTCTAGCTTCAAATGGCTCATGATTTCAACTACATAAAATCACCAAGATCTCCACAAAACTCCTTTTCTCATATATTATTTTCCTATGAACATATTGTTTCCTTCAACCTTTATGTTTCATTTGCGATAACTTCTTCAACTAACTACTTGTATCAGTTAGTTCATTTAGAAAAAAATTATTTTCTTTTCAAAACAAAAAAGAAAAAAAAAAGAAAATCTTATTTATTTTATGATCATAAAGTTGACCCGGTTACAGTTTGATTGAATTATTATTTTTTTTAATTTTAACTTCTGCGTAGGTGTTAAAAATAATCATTTGAATCGGTGATTAGTTTACGTAATGTTTAATGGTAAAGTAAATACTGTAGAGAAAAAAAAAGAAAGAATTATTAATAAACCATCTGCTATATATAAATATATATTGGTCATTTTACTCAGTTTGATCAAACTAATCCTGTGAAGGAACTAATAAGACTTTAACATACATATATGTTGTGAAAGAAAACTCGGCGAGACTATAACTTATGGACGACCTTTGAACGAATCTTATGTGACCCTGAGAAATGTTAGTCAATCAGTAAACAGTCAGCATAGATTAAAAATATATTCTACTAGACCAAAGAATTAAAGTGGATACTCTTCTTTACATAGTCCACAAAAACTTGTCAAGGTTGGAAAGAGGTTCAATGGTTCTAAAATCGTAATGCATAAGGCAGAGGAACTCATCCATATGGCTCCATAATAGTCGGTTTCTGGAGCCATGATAATGTCATAAAAAAACTCTCAGCGTCGACCACATAGCTTCAGTATTGTTTGTGTGTACTCCGGTTGTGTAAGTTTGCCATTTTTATTATGGATATGTCCCTACAATACTCATACCACTGAACAGCCGAAGCTTCAGTAACATCTGTGATCATTGCAACCAATGTTACTGATGTATTTATTATACGGTTAGCGGCAATTATTATCATCTATCTTAGTCTCAATCTGGATCGAGCAATAAAGATTCCTATTCTAGCAGTCGTCTTTCTCCAACATATATTACATCGAAGGACAACATCACTGTAGTCTGCACAAGGTCCATTAGTCATTTAATACCCGAAATTACAAATATAGGAACTTCTTAGTAGTCTTATTTGTTGTAGCTGCCTAATTGTCAAGTCTTCCCTAAAATTCTTTATGAACCGATCGTACATGAGCATCAGGCACTGAAATTGGCGCCGTGACCTTAAAATCCCTCAAACGCTTATGATTGTCTTGTCTATAATTTATAGTCTTGCCAGAAAACTCTTAGATGTGTCTAAAGTTATGATTCTTAAAATAGTCAAAATTACATGTCATAAGTTAATATGTAGGAAAGTTTATTTTAAAGACTAAAAAAATATTTTTATCTCCTCACAGACAACTCAATTGAATATAACAATGTATTAAAGGAATCTCTGATCATTGTGTGTTTAACATTGCGGTTCATTTGATCTGACTTTTATTCCTTGAACTAAATTTATCTTTTAATGCTTAATTTGATACAGATAAGTAGTCACAAAATTGAAACATCTATGGCTTAAAAGAACTACCAGATTATATTAAAGCTTAATAAATACTTTTTATATACTGAAAATTATATTAAGAAACATATCTGAGAGATAGCGTGTGCATCAGTAGGCCTCAACATACACAAAGGAAAACGTCAAATACTCAAATACAACACATAGAGAGCATCAATCTAATTATATTTGATGGAGAAACTCTGGAAGAGGTGGAATCTTTCACATATCTGGGGGGCATCATTAATGAACAAGGAGGATCTGATACGGATCTGATAAGAACAGCATCCATAAAACTGAAGAACATATGGAACTCAAAACAACTGTCCAATAATACCAAAGAATCTTTAATATAAAAGTTAAAATATTTCTACTGAACGGAGCCGAAAAATGGAGAACTACCACAATCATCATCAAAAATGTGGAAGTGTTTATCAACAATTGTCTATGGAAGATACTCAATATCTGTTGGTCGGATACCATCATCAACAGCCTACTGTGGGAGAGGACAAACCAGCTTCCAACTGAAGAGGAAACTAGGGAAAGAAGATGAAAGTGGATGGAAAACACATTGAGGAAAGCATCACACTGCATCTCGATGACAGCTCTAACTTAGAATCCTAAAGCGATACGGATAAGAGGAAGGCGAAAGAACACATTGAGTTGGGAATCAGAAGCAGACATGAAATGGATGAATAGCAACTGAAAAGAACTGCAACGTACTGATCAAGACAGAGTTGGACGGAGAATGCTGGTGGGCGGCCTATGCTCCTCCATGAGGTTTGACAGGCGTAAGTAAGTAATAATTAAATCCCTATAAACTAAAAACTTCTTTTTGTAGTTACGTGAATCCACGCCTGAAATCAGATGAAGAATGGTGTACATTTATTCTGCAAAGTCTTACGAATAACAAATGGTGATTATACAACTATAAAGCATTGAAATTCTGTGTAAATAATATCAGAGGTTAGAATATTTCTGATCGTCTAATTTATATTGTCTTTTATCGGTGCCATTTAAAACTGCTAACAGCGCGCAAATTAATATTTCTGATGACTAAAATGTCGTCTCTTTCATTAAATCATAACTGATAATTTGAATAGAAGTAATAGGTGAAATGGTTGAATGTTTAGGAAAATGTCGCCTCTAGTTTGTTTATTATAATGAAATGTTAAACGAGTAGACAGCAGCTAAAAACACTTAAGAGTTCTAAAGAAAATGCAAAATTTGGTGTGGTGGTAAGTGTAGAAACTATGTATCCAGCTGTAAAGATGCATATAACAGTTAGTTTACTGTATTTGCATCATAATAAAAGCGAGACCAGCATATCCACTAATTATCCGGTGTTTATTCAAAATGCTATGCTCCTCCACAGGCGTATGTATGTAAGTAAGTGTTATATCCCCCGGTGAATTACGAATGGTAACTTTGTAATGTAATATGCCTATTTCCAATTGTACAATTATTACGTAACTGAACTATTCATATTCGTATTTCTCTTATCATTAGCTTTATTTTGACCTTTGACTTATTATCATACGATTTTTGAGTTATAATCAGTTTATTGATTACTTTGGTTTGTATAAAAACCCAGTGTGTTTGTAAATAATGATTCATATTGCCGAGGCTGTTATTTGTGTTCTGGACTTAACGGGCTGGGTTAGGCAGATAGGAAGGACCGAATAGCACTCAAGAATGCTCGTACGATTTCAAGTATCATTTGCGTCCGATCAGTAAAATCCACTCCTCTCTAATTGCACATTCATATATATTACGAGTTCACACGATATAACAGTAAGTAACCTACGTTAGAAATCCAAAACAGCTGATCGTTTATCAACTTGATGCGTATTTATAATGAATTCTACTTTAAACAGTTAATAAAACAAACCATATAAGGATATTCGTCTTTTATACAGAATAATATTTAAGAAGATTTATAATCAAAATTTAACACAACTGATCTTATTACACTGTCTCATATTTCCATGATACATTCTTATTGAAAGTAGAACACTGTTATCAATCACGTTAGAATCGATATAAGTTTCTAAATTTAAAAAAAACAATTTGTTATTACATAGCCTAATATCTTTTTAACCGACTTTGATTTTAACAAACAATTGAAACATGAAAATATTTATAGATTAGAGTTGACAATTGTCTACAAAGATCACTTTAGTCCATCCAACGGTAACACCTAGATAATTGAATACATTATTGTAATATAATGATAGCGATCGATTGTGGATACACTCTTCAAGTTCCAAACTCTCACTAATCTTACACATGCATTTCATCATAAATTAGTTGTGAAGATTATTAATTTTTCTAAACAAAATATGATCTCACTGTGTAACAAAATTATAGAGGATTAAGTCCGATGAAGGATTTGAAAAGGTTTAATATATCGAAAAATCTATGTACCAAAGAATAAAACTATTAGTATAGGAATTTATGGACATTGTGGTATTTTCATAGCGGAATTCACTAGTTCATCTAAGCTAGACCGGTAATAGAAACGTGGAAGCACTGGACCACTATTTTTCCTTGCATGGAACTCCTCGACAATGCTCATGCACGATCCCGCATACGGAACCTGAATTCAAAACCATCAGTCTCGCGTCCAAATGCTTAACCTCTAGACCTCTATATTAAAACTATTGTTTAAGTAGAATTTTCATTTAACAATCACCTGATAATACGATAGCATTGAAAGTCATCTATTAAAAATTACTTAGTTTTAAAACAGAAAACACTGGTTCGATGTAAAGATCTTTTATTTTTATTTTGTTTGATATGTACAGTTATGTAATCTAAACAGGCATAAATAGTGAAGAAAAAGAACAAAATATAAACTCATACTGTTGTATATCTTTAGGAATATACTCATAATATAGGTTGTTTTTTTTTATGGTGGTTTATTGTTAAAACATAAAACTAGTAAAATTATATAATGCGAGATGATAAGTATATGTTTCATTATTACTGTATACTAAACAGATTATATTACTACAATGCAAATGCATTCATAATTTATTCCATGGAACGCGACCAATTGCTAATTGAATCGGAGTATCACCGAAATGTTTCAATTGATTCAATCCATACTGCTGACGTCTTTCACGGTTGTAATGCCAAGCACATAGTAATTTTGCACAGGACATACGAAAATTATTATTTAATAATGAATATACCAGAGAATTTAGACAGGCATTGAAATAGCCAAGCCATGTTGCAGCAAAAATAACTTCTTCTATATAAATAAAACAAAAATATAAAGAATTTGATAGGTAGCGTTCGATCTAATTTAAAATATTAGAAAAATGCACAAAATTAATTGATAATTTTAACAGTTGAAATCATGAGTCAATTGAAGCTAAACCACCATCTAAAACCTGGAAGCACTGGACGACCGTTTTTTTTAAAGTTGATTTTAAGTTGATTTTCTTAGAAGTTAGAATCATCATGAAGTTTAGTATTAAAGCTTATTAATGTTTTGTGAAAGTCATTGACTCATGTAATTCAGGATGGATCCATGTTTATATTGAAACAAAAGTGTAGTTATAATTCGTTTTTGTATCGGTTGTTTGAATGTTACCTTTTGATTTTTGGGACTGTAATAGATCAATCTCTTATTGAAATATGTGTATCCTATGCAGATTACTTCAATATTACCTTAAATCACAGTCATTATAAACGGAGATGGCTAGTGGCTAGTAGTGGAATACAGGACGCGCATTTCGTACATCCAGCTGACGAGTCTAAACTAAGATAAAATGTACGTCCTGTATTCAACTGCTAGCCACCATTCATCTTTGCTAATAATGCTTGTGATTTGAAATTGTAATTACAATTATTTTCCAAACAAATAGATTTGTAAATATTTTTTTAATTTAAAATATGATTTTCACCACGAACTAACATATCGTTAAAAACCGAAGAGTGTTACATAGGTGCTTAGTTCTAGTTTAGCACCTATTGACAGTATATCCTATTGAATTCTGTTATATCTAGAGCCTTGATTCTTAATATGCCGCGAACGACTTGACTACTTGAACGATAGAACCCGCAACGTCGCAAAGAGAGAAGACAAAGACTGGTAAGCAGGAAGTTTATTGCCCTGAACAATGTCAAAATATAGCACAGAAATCTCGTGTATTTATAGTTTTTGGCTGAAAGTAAATTATCATTTAGGTCAACCAATAAGCACATGGGTATCAAACTAATCCATCCAATGGGGAAGCTCCACGTTGGCATTTCCAGAACATTCCCCTAGCCCTGATTGGATGGAATGTCTGCGGCTCTTCCTGGGCTTCCTAGAGCCTCCTCGACTTCACCTGTGGACCATCCTCACACCTCCCTCCTTTAAAGTCTGTTGTATAAGTCCTTTTTCTCGGATCCACCTGGAATTGAGTTACCGCGATTCTCTTGCGACTCATTACTCTCGAAGGTTGTGTCGCCTTGCTCCGGCGTCTTTTATCTTTTCTACCTTCGCGCGCCTGAGTGCTTTTTGGAGACGAATCCATGAGCAAATGAAATGGAAGCCGGCTTTGTGGCATCCATGTTCTGCCATCCCTTCGAATTTGATTGATGTGTCTTATACAAGTACCGACATTTCTTCGGATTAAATACAATACGCTTCCAATTCGACGCTCTATAATACCTGGTTCCCACCTTTTTCCTCCTTGATACGATTTAACGAGTACCCTTTCACCCACCTTGAAGCTACGAGTGACCATATGGTTTCCATTCGTGGGTTTTCTTGTCTTTCTAGGTGGCAACATACTGCTAAAGATTGTTCGAATTTTCCTTCGGAACATACACTCGGCTGATGACTTACCTTCGGGTACTGCCGGATTGGGGGTAACTCTGTAAGACAAAAGGAACTTGCTGATTACTTGTTCTGGGATGGCCTCTCCTCCCCCTTTAACTAGAGCTCGTTTTATAGTATCCACGAATCTTTCTGCTTGGCCATTCGACTGAGGATGGTACGGGGGAGACTGTAGATGTGATATGCCATTTTCAGTGCAAAACCGTTTAAAGACAGATGACATGAACTGGGTGCCGTTGTCAGTCACTAAGATCTCAGGAACCCCAAAACAAGCGAACAAACCTGTCAATTTTCTTATAGTACTCTCTGACGTCATTTTCGGCATGTCGTATACTTCTGGCCATTTCGTGAAGGCGTCGACAACAACCAAGTAATTTCTGCCTTGTATTGGGCCGGCAAAATCAGCGTGTATTCTTTGCCAGGGACCGTCTGGTTTCGGCCATGGTTGCGGTTCAGCTTTATTTGGGTTCTTTGCGGCCTCTAAACAGGACGAACAACTGCGACATTTTTGCTCTATATCATGGTCCATTGATGGCCAGTATGCGTAGCTTCGAGCTAACGACTTCATTTTACTTATCCCCGGGTGTCCGCTGTGGAACTGCTTAAGGACTTGGTTTCGAAGATTTCTGGGGATGACGATACGGTGGCCAAACATGATGCAGTAATCTACAATTGTCAATGAGTCTCGTCGACGGAAAAATTGCAAGAGTTCTCCATTTAGTCTCGATGAAGGCCACTTGTTGAGTATGCAGCGGCGAACAAACTTCAACACGTTATCTTTCTCACTAGCTCCTTTAATAGCTTCGAATGTGACTGGAAGTCCGGAAACTGCGTCTGTTAATACTGTGTGAACCTCGGCCTCAACATCTACGGCAGCCACGAGCACCTCCTCTTCTTGTTTTGTACGGGAACTAATTAGTCTTGAAAGGGCATCTGCCTGTCCAAAATCCGTTGTTGTTTGGTACTTTATCTTGAAATCATCGCCCAGCAGTGTAGTTGTCCATCTCTGTAGACGGTTTGCTGTATATACAGGTATACCTTTTTTCGATCCAAAAATTGTCAGCAGCGGTTTATGGTCTGTTAGTAAGGTAAATTGTCTGCCAAATAGCATCTTGTGGAACTTCTTTACTGCGAATATAATAGAGAGGTCCTCTTTTTCTATCTGACTATAGTTTCTTTCTGTCATAGTCAGCGACCGTGCAGCGTGGGCGATTGCCTTCTCAGACCCGTCTGGGTAGGTATGTGCGATCACTGCGCCAATTCCGTAGTTGGACGCATCTGCTGCGACTATGATGGGAAGCTCTGGATCATAGTGTGTGAGTAGAAGGTTTGATGACAGGAGCTGTTTTAGTTTTACGAAAGCTTCTTGGCACTCAGATGACCAGAACCATTTGGTATCTTTTTTCAGCAACCCATTAAGAGGAGCACGAAGGCGATGCAGTTCTGGAAGAAAAACTCCATAATGACTAACCATTGCCAAGAAAGAGCGTAAAGTTGACACATCAGTTGGTGGAGGCATGGACTGGATAGCCTCGACGTTTTCAGGATCAGGTTTTCTTCCGTTTTTATCAATTATGAATCCCAAATAGCGGACTTGTTCCATGTAGAAATCACATTTTTCAGCACGTAATGTAAACCCAAAATCTGCTATGCATCTGAAAACCATATCTACCTTCTTCTCCAGGTCAGCATAGTCTGTACCCATGATCAGTATGTCGTCAAGATAGGCCGCAGTACCAGGAATATCTTGTAGCATAGTATCCATAACTTGTTGAAAGATTGAAGGGGCAGTCTTTACTCCTAACGGAAGTCTATTATATCGAAACAACCCTTTATGAGTGTTTATTGTCAAGTAATGTTTGCATTCTTCCGCTACTGGAATCTGTAAATATGCTTCTGATAGGTCTAGTTTTGCAAAATACTTACCCCCGTTAAGTTTCGCAAATAAGTCTTCTGGTAATGGTAAGGGGTACTGATGATCTTCAAGTGCGTCATTTAATCCAGTGGAATAGTCTGCACATAATCGAATACTTCCATTAGGCTTTTAACAATTACTATTGGAGCTGCCCAATCAGAAAAGTTCACTGGTTCTATAATTCCACTTTTTTGCAGTCGTTCTAATTCTTGTTCAACAATCGGTAGAGCTGCGTAGGGCACAGGTCTTTTGGGTCGAAAAACGGGAGTAGCACCAGGTTTGAGGATTAACAAGGCTTTGGCCTTCGTACATTCTCCCAATTCTTCTTTAAAAACGTTGTGATGTCTTTGCGGCACGGTACTTTTCTGGTTACACCTTGAGGAGTTGCCAATAGTCACTCGTCTGCAGATGCTATTAATAGAATGATCTGCTAGCTTAAGAGTTTCTATTAGATCAAGTCCCAATAAGTCTAGTCCTGGGCTTTCCGTGAGATATACTTTCACATTCTTCTGTACATTCCCTTTTTTAACTGGACAGTATATCTCTCCAACAATATTTAACTTTCCTCCAGATGCACTGTGTGCTAACTGGGTTGTAGGGAGCACCGAGGGTTTTCCAATATAACTCCATGTTTTGCGGCTGATCAGTGAAATATCTGAAGCAGTGTCAAGCTGTAGACGAGCACGGCGCCCATTTATCTCTAAGGTCACATATTTTCTTCGATTATGTTCTGTTCTAGTATGTGCTACCATTATTCTGTTGATTGATGAACAATTTTTACGTCTTCGGAAATGAACACTTGATGATCGACGGTGCATCTTCTTTTTACAACATGTTTCTTTATGTCCTTTGAGCTGACATCTAGTGCACCGGTAGTTTTTGTATGGGCAGAACCTTTTGTAATGCAGCTCCCCGCAAAACCAACATGCGGATGGAGGCTTCTTAATGGTTGTGTTCTGCTTTTGCTTCCCACTTACTGCCTGTACATAAGGTAGTCGACCATTATTTTCTACCATTGAAGTGTCATGCTTCAAGTTTACCAGATGCTGACATTCAGTAGTCACCTCTTGAAGGGTGATATTTGGACACTGTTCAATTTTGCTTAGAATTCTGGTTCTAATGTCGGCGTCTTCTGAAGATTGTAAGCTGCATACGAAAACAAGACATTTGAATTGGTCTTCTGTCATTGCTGATAGTTTAAAGCGCTCACATTCGCGATTTATTATGCTAGCATGTTGCACCCAGTCATCATTGCCGGCTTTTACTATTTTCAAGCACTGATATCGAATATTGAACAAGGAAGACTGTTCACCGAAAATTTGCGACAACATTTTAACTGTTTCTTCGAATGAAATGTCTCTTGGGTTCTTGGGCAGAATGTAATTAGTATATCGTTCATGTTCAATGGTGCCCAGCTTTCGTAGTAGCACCCTGACCTTGGCGGCATCATCAAAAGTTTCTAGGTCGACATTAAATACATCTTCATATTTCTTGTACCAAGATTCGA